ATTTTAACCATACTTCAGCAGTTTGTGCATCTTCAAGAGTAAGTAAGGCTGGGAAATGCACTGAGCCACGCAGCACCTAGGTAATTCTGAAGTTGTTGACCCTCATTACTCTGGTCACTTGAAAATCTAAGAATTACAAAATAGGGCCACTATGTCTAGGAAAACAATGGTTGCAGCTCAGAAAATTATGCCATTTAAACTTCAGAAAGACATACCAGATGAATCAGCTGCTGGTAGCTTGTGAATGAATGGAGAACAACCTTTGCATCACTGGGTAGTTTGGGCTTTGGAAGTTGTTATCCTGGCAAGTAGTGTGAGTACATGCTACAGCCGGTGTTCCAGAAAAGTCTGTCACTTTTCTTGAAAATGAGAGTGATCTACTCATGCACATAATATGACATGTCTGTACTGCAGACATCAGAGCTGTAGTAAGTGTTTTTAGGGCCTAGGGCATGCTACTCTTACTGGTATCTTCACTCAGCACATGTCATGCTGTGATTGCCCAGATCATGTCATGAGGACAGAGTGATAGACTTTTAGTCTTAGAGGACTAGAAAAAGTCTTAGAGAAGGGTGTGGCTAGGTGAGAAGGTGGGTAACAGAGAGTGGTGGCACTTAATCTCCAAGTTTTGTCCCTGTACCTTGAGGTGTGTGGAGGTATTTGGACATGGCTACCAGTGCACCGGTGCTGGTATTTCTACAGTAGCCAGGAAAATGCTGAGAGGTCAGCTGAGGCTGTGAGGAGTGTAAAGGAACACTGTGTCACGTTACAGCTGTGGCTTGTGGTCTTTTATTATAGCTCTTCAGCTTATTACAGTGTAGTGGGGAGGATTTTGTGGTCCATGGTGACATGCACAGTGGAAGCACCAGGACCCTTCCAGACAGGGGCCTATTTCGCCGGTGCCTGCAACCCTAACAGGTGCAGTTCAATGACTCCACTTGCCCCTTCCACTCTCCCAGGGTAAATTTCTTCATGGGAGTAACCTCGCCAGAAGAAATAAAATCATTCTAAATGCCTGACGCCAGTTTTCCATTCCTCTGGGATTTTGATGAGAGCTACACTGTGACACCCACTCCCCATCAAAGCAAAGCAGTTTGCACAATCTGATTTTATGCTTTCCTATGGTGGTTTGGGGTTTTGGTGACCACAGAAGGCAGAAGTGAACAAATAGGCTGCTCTAAGTACCCTGTAGTAATTACAGCTGAATATAATAGGGTGGGACTAAGTGACAATGCCTGAAGCAGATGAAATCTGTAGCCTGTGGTAGTGAATCCACGTTGGCCATGAGTTTTTCAGTAACTAACTCTCTCTCATATGGAGCTCTTAAATACCAAATTCTCCCAAGAAGTGGTAAAGCATCCTCTACCTACAAGAAAATTCACTGGATAGTGCCTACAAAATAATTCTTCCAGTACAAAGCTTCAGATCTGGAATAAAAGCTATTTTAATGCCAAATAATTACTTCACAGAACTATTAGAATCACATGAATCTAAATGTTCATGAGCAAAACATTCTTTTGGAAAATGTTTTACTACCTCCTAGCTAGAAAGACTCATCCTCTTTTTATTTTAAAATTTTGAAAGGTTTTATTGAATCTGTAGGAAGACACAAACATTAGTAGAATTAGTGCATCACTGTAAAAGAATTCTTTAACCCACTGGGAAAGAACGATACTCCTGCATCGCAGCACTAACACACCGCCTTTTTTCATGTCCCCTTTCCCGGAATGCTAAAATAAGTTCACCGTGTGTGCAATATAAATGACAGACATAGCAGATACAACAGCAGGGAAACCAGGAATCGGACAGGAAATGCTCGCTGCTAACTGCTGAAAAAAAATATTAAAAAATAAATAACTGGACGGGAAAGAGAAGGAAGCTCCAGACACCCCTGCCTGGGCGGCACCGGCACTGGCCTCTGCCGCTCCCCAGAGGAGACCTTTGTTATAGCCGCTTGAGAAAGCACTGAGAGATTGGGAGATACAGATATATAGAAATATGTATAAAGTTTTACGGATTCAAACACAGAAGGATTTTCTTTTTTTTTTTTTCACAAGGGAATTGGAAATTTCAGGAGAGTGTTTCTTTTTTATATATAATTTTTATATTGTTGCATCATTTGCTTCCTTGATGAGCTTCCAGTTTTAATGCTGTCCGCAGCTTCTCGTGTCCAGCCTGTGCTGTTATGAAGTGGGCTTCAGCGAGTGGTAGGAAGAAGAAAAAAATATTCAGGAATAAAGCTCTGGGAAGAAGAGAGCAGGGATATGAGCAGGGGAGAGATGCATGAAAGCGTTCAGCTCTAGCTGCTCCTCGATGCTAGAAGATAACTGCTGGTACAATCTGCCCTTCCCAAGGACTGACGGGAAGTAACTTTATTATTATTATCGTTGTTACACAGAAAATCCCACTAAAATAGCGGTGAAAGGAGCTAAACAACCAGCCTGGACAAAGATGATCCTTCTATGCTTTACAGCATTACCAGAACAGCGCAGGTCTAGAGGGCAGGTCTTTTCACAAATAGCATAGAGATGATGGCATTAAACCATGTATAAAATTGCACAGAGGACTCCAAACTAGTTATCCTCAGAGTAGAAGAGAGTTAGGACTAAGTTTTAAGCACCTTCAGAGATCAGTTTTTGTTGTCCCTTACAATGGACACTAGTCTGATTAAAGCAGAAAACAGTAAAGCCATGCCTAGATAAGTCTCTAGTTAGAGAGAGATAGTGTATTCTTAGTACATTCACACACATAGAAATAAATGCACATATCCTGCTCTGTGCCTGAAAGAGAAACTATTATATGTCGCTGCAGCATAAAAGAATTGTGTCTAGGAAGTCACAGCTGAAGGATTTTGGCTAATCACCAAGTGAACAATGTCAAACACTGAACATCTGGACAGTTTCCATTCAAATAACTTCTCATCTTGGGCCAACTGTATTTACAAAACACTGGAATGAAATTCCATACTGTCATTTATCCATTAGTAAGAGACAGCATTACAGCTGGGTAACAATCCTACTTCTGCATGGAGTTCTCCCAGGGATGGCAGCTCTCACTGAGCCTCGCACAGCCATTCTACAGGTCTCACCTGCTCACTTCTGTGCATCTTAGATGGCATTGCCAAATTCAGAGGGGTATTCTGCAGGTATATGGGTGTATATTGGGGTAATCTCTGAACTAGTTACCTAAAACTTGAAATAGCTTTTTACATTTAAAGCTTTATTGCATATTTCGGATACAACAGATGAGAAAGGCAGATTACTTGACTTAAGATGTGTACCTAAGCCTTCCCTTGCTCTCCAGTCTCAGGCAGTGATAGTAAGGAATGGAGAATCTGTAAAATAAGCCTATAGAGCTACACAAGAAAAGGATACAGCATATCCTCACATCTTAGCCTTACTCCTTGTTTTCTACTTTCTCTTCACCTCCTCTGAATCTCTCCCCCTTTATCTGACCTACACTCGCTTGGATGGTCATCTGTTCTCAGAACAAAGCCACTGCCTCTGCACCTAACTCCCCCACTGTGGCCCATTCCCACAGAGCCATCGAGGAACAAAACCCTCCCAGCTCTGGTTTTGAGTTTGGAAGGGACACAACTCCCTGCATTCAGCACTCTCAAGAGCAAGAGCTATTGCCAGCTTTGTGTAAGCCCCCCAATACTGGTGTAGGAAAGCCTGGATTCTTTCTGTTGATATTTATAAGCAAGAAGTATTTTTGCTATAACAAAGAGGGATAGATTATTTTCAGCAGTATAGGATATCATAAAACAGAGTTTGGCCAGATGCTTTTCAATACTTCTCCAGAAATTTCTCCATGTAAGGAGGCATACAGGTCAGTATGACATTGTATCACGGAAGTCTCAACCAAGGTTGCTTTTGAAGATCAAAAATCATTGGAAGCCATCTAACTACAGGTGAATTTCAGTTGCATAACTCAATAGATGAATCAGTTCCACACTGAAAAAATATCTAATCTGTTTTAGGCTTGTGTGTGCACACCAGTTCGGTTCAATATCATACCTGCATTGGTTTGTAAAGCAAACAGAAAGAGCAGAATCACCCAATGGGTTGGGCTGTAAGGGACCTTTGAAGATCAGGTTGCTCAAAGCTCCATCCACCTTGATCCTGAACACTTCCAACAATGAGGCATCCATAACTTCTCTGGGCAGCCTGTTCCAATGTCTCACCAAACTCAGCATGAAGAATTCCTTCCTTATGTCCAAGCACTAATGCACTATACTTCACAGCCAATATACAAAGTTTTAATGTTCCGAAAAGGATGAGAAGCTTTACTGGAGAGGTCTGCAGCAGTAAAAAAATTCACAACATCTTATCTTTATAAGTAATTAAAGCAGTAATATACTTGAATACTTAATTTTGTAATGATGGTCTAAAGCTTGACTTGAGGCTTGGAACATCACTTTTTAGTCTGAAGAAGGTCACATACCTGTGCTAGAGCTAACAGTTTGTTATGGGATTTATTCTGCAATACCAAGGGGCCCCTGGGAATGTGGGTGTGCTGAGAGTTAAGGGAGGGGAAAACGAATTTTTAAAAGATGTAGATGCTGAGTATTGGCAATGACGGCGAGTAACATGATGACTGTTTTTTCCCTTGCCGTATGCTCTGGGTCCTAGCTCGAGATAAATTTAGATCAGTCAGTAGCTAACACTACCTGGCTTTGGCCATCAATGTGCCCAAACTAACTGTGATTTGGTGGAGTACATGGAACTGTGCCCCTGGCTGTGGGAGACGGGCTGTGAGTACATGAGATATTTATACTGGCTCTAAAGTACCAGGACTCCCCAGGGAGTTCTCAGCTCTTTGCTCAGAGTCAGACTGACGGGAGTAGTTTGGTGAAGAGTTGGACACCAGTGCTAGTGTTGAGCTTCTCATGGAATGCGTTAATCCAGGGCAGGTTTTACAGGCAATGGCAAAGAGAGGGAGTCAGAAACTGCAACACCTTGAGCAAATCTTCTAATGTGCCATCATTTTTATTTCAGGGAAAAAAAATAGGGAGGAGAAAAGAAAAAAGTCCAACAAAGACGAAAGCAAGGAGACGAGACAGGAAAGCAAAGGGCGAGCAGCCCGAAGACAAAACCGAGAACAGAGGGAAAACAACAACAAAACGCAGCCGAAGAAAAGAAAAGCCCCAAATAAAGAACAGAACCTGGCACCCGTCGACACTGCACATTAACAGCCCTCCATGATTGTTTAAGTCTTATGATGCTGCTATCTCTACCAGATCGCCCTGACAGGTGCTCCAACCGTTCAGGCTGCAAATGGACAATGCTACCAGTTATTATTAAACTTTAAACAACATTCCAAATACTTCCTATATTCTCCAAGCAATCATAGTTTATTAAAGAGATTGACATGAGCCAAGAAAAAAATAAATCTAAAAATGGGATACTTTAAAACTGTTATATTATATGCTTCCATGCATCTGTAAAAGGCAATTAAGAAATTTTGTATATATTAATAATAGGGTATAAAATATAGCAATATAATAATGAATGACACTCAGATGAACAATGTTCTTTTTCTTTGTAAAATATTTTTCAAGTTATTGTTTAAGTATGAGGCAAGAGATATGTCTAAATCAAAGACACAAACCGTATCCCTTCATATATTGTACATAAATATTAAGAGAAGGAGGAAAACATTTCTGAAGAGCCAGTAGGAACCCAATGTTTTATAACCTGTGGTGGAGCAGGATGGATTGTCCTGTGATTCCCTGGTCCAGACATAGGTGAAAAACATCAGAGGAAACCTGATAGAGCTTCACAAGCTGAGTGAAAAGAAGCAGAAGCATCTGCCTCTTTGAAGACTGCATCCATGAGGCAGAAGGCTATGGAGCTGAGCTTGAATAATGCTCTTATTTGTGGGGCAACACAATGTTTTCTGGTCTAAACAGTGGTACCGTGTGTGCTGTTTTATGCTTTTTATACCTATGTGTAACTTAAGTCTACATTTCAAATCTTCTGGTGAATGACAAATCATATTTGTAGGAGACAATGTTGAGTTAATAAAAACCAGAAAAATAGATCCTGTAAGTATGTGTTTTTCACAGTGGTGGTGCTGCCTTTCCTACTGGAAGAGGGAATCATTTCACAGCTTCACAGAGAGAAAAGGATGCAACTTACATCTACATTGTGCATCTAGTCCAAGAGAATCTACAACAATAAACCTATTGATAGACAGAATTTACGAACTTTTCTCCAGTTTTACTTACATTCTTGTTCTAGTTCTTCTCTTTAACATAGCAGAGGTGAAAATTTCCTCTGCCCAAGGGACAGGCCAAACCCCTTGGTACCATCCTCCCTGTATTAGAGTGACCCATGAGTGAAGTGCAGGCTATGCCATACATTGCCTCTCCACTCAGAAAGGAATCTACCCCTTACAGAAATACATTGAGGAACCAACAAACTTCACAGCATGTATTTCACTGCCATGCTTTCCCCAAAGGCAGCTGTCACAACCTGCCCAGTGTGGTGCATGGACTAGAAAATGTGGCAGGTGAGCCTTCCTAGTGAGTTCAGGTCCCTAGTCACTATTTCTGTTTCTCACAGAGAGTTTGACCTTAAGAAAGACTCTGACCAACACTAAAACCTGTCTCTGGTTGAAGAAACCTGAGGGTAACTTCAATTACTTTTGGATGAATATTCTAATCATCCAGACAGTGATATAGCATAGTTTCCTACATTTTGCTTTGCACAAGTCCTGTCTCTTAAGTATATGCACATAGGTGCAGCAGTCTAGTAACACAGGTGTTCAAGGCTCCCACAGCTTGCATCCAACTTTCAGGAGAATCTAGTCAAAACTTGCTGTAATCAGCAATTATACTGTATGCGATTATACTGTGTTTTTGCTGGTGAGGAGAGCTAAATTTTAGAGAGATGAGCATCATATGCATATAACACTCATCATGTACAACGAAGTCTGAATGTCTGAAAGAGAAAAGCAGGGTGTGCTGAACGTCTCTGAGAGGCACCTAACAGCAGGAAACTGGAGCGGGGGTGGCTATTTGTGGGGTCCCTGCTTCATTGCATAACTCTACTACATCCTCCTCCAGAGTGAGCTGGTCTCAGTCTCCCACTTACTGATCCTGGCAACATCTTCCTCCACCAACATCTTCCCACCTTCTTGGCAGCAGCAACTGAGAAGCTGGTCTCAGAGAAGCGTAGGGCCCAGGACCTGTGCTCAGCTCTGGGTGGTGCTGAAGGGAGGCAGAGAAAGAAAAGGAGAAATCCTGCTGTTGTCAGACTCAGAGGTTGGTACCAAAAAATCAGATGTGAGCAGCAGTTCTGGGCTGAGCAGGGTTGGTGTCACAACAGAAAGCAGCATTCACTGCTTCAAACTTTCTCCTGCAACTGCAGTCACCCATCTGTCTGAGGTGCTGGTGGGCAGACAGGGATGTTCAGCTGCTCAGGAAGGATTTACTGCTCAACTTACTTCCTCCAGGGACATATTGGCCAGATGTATCCCTCGTTAGATTCAGCAAACTAGACTACCAGCTGGACCATGTGGATAACTGAACTCAGAAGAGCTCTGGACCATGTGGATAACTGAACTCAGAAGAGCTCTGTCTACAACTCTTAGAACTAACCAGCAGGACTGTGTCTTTTCCTTGTCTTTAATTAAGTATAAAGGGGTTTCAAATGGAAGACAGCTCTTGAAAAAAAGCACAAGCAAGAAACATAAAAATGAATAAGATTGTCCAGAGGGGAATTAAAAAGAGGAAAATACAAAACAAGGAGCTAAACCCATAATGTCCCTGATCTCAGATATTCTCCACTACAATGCCTGAAGGAGTCAAAGGAATGCCATTTGTCTTGCAAAGATAGACAGAAGACTAGAAAAGCAGTACCAAGTTCAAGAGCAACAGATTGAAAAGGAAAAAAAGAAGGTGAAAGGCAAAGAAGAGAATTTAGGATATAGATGTGAGATTTGTTATACATTGTTACATAAACCTTTTTTTTTTTCAAAAATTTTTCAAAATTTACAATGCCTTTCCCTGCCTACACAAAGTGGCAGTGACAAGAGAGACGGTTTGTTTTTCCAGAAGCAGATCTTGGAGTACTATGATTGTTCAGCAAGGGATAAAAATGTGAAACGAATCCAGCTTGTGGCAGTAATAATTCATAGCAATAGTACCTGAAAACCATGATACAATTTTTCCTGGAAACGATCAAGAAAGCTGCCATCATGCTGTTCCCTCCCACACAGGATAATGTTTGGTAATATTTCCTGTAGCCATGGTGAAGTACTAAAAAGTACATTCAGCTCATCTGGGCAACTAAAATTTTCTCTAACTCTGGCACTGAATGTAGAATACCCCAATGGTAGGTGAACTACTCCATCGGGACTCCCAAGAAACTGAAGGAGAATACAGGCCTTTGTAGGTCAAACAGATATCGTGATGACGTTTCTCGCTCACACAGCAATAACTATGTAGAATTGAGAGTCAATGATCTTACATGCTGAGTAAGAGCTAATGGTGACTCATATGACCTTACCGGAGAAGATCTAAGTACTGCAAGTAGCTGTGACTAAATTTGTGTGAACTTTCTTTCCTGACAATTGCTTCCCAGTTACAAAATACTTTAAAAACTTGAGTCAATATTAAGTAATTTCCAGAGGAGGATTATGGACAGAGTAGAATTATGAACAACTTTTCTTAAAATGAGAGCTAAATTGAATGGATGTTAATCACCAGACAAATTCATAGTGTGTTAATTATTAAAGAACTGTTCCAGAATAAAATACTAAAAGTCAGTTACAGTCATTAGATACACACAAATTAGGTGCTATTTCTGACACTTAGGCTGCTCAGGGAAAATCAGTAACAAAGAGGTAAAAAAATGCATAAAAGCAACTCTTGTGGCCCAAGCTTCAGATCTGTCTGACCAAGCTGTAGCTTGTTCTCTTACAAGCTCCAAGCTGTAGCTTCTTTCTATGTTAGTGAAGACCTGAATAAGGAAATCCAGTGTTAAGGTCTCATAAATAGCTCAAGTTCTGAACTGCTGAACGCTTCATTGAGATTGTCCCAGCAGCTTTATTCTGAGCCACCAGAGCAGATTTGTCAGGCTGATCAATGCAGTGAATAAATGACAGGTTTTATTGTACCTTGTAGGAAAGTGGGAGCAGAAGGATCCATGAGCAGAATAGTACCATCAACAGTCACTCCCCACAACAAAAGTGTTGAGTCATGCCCTCTACTGACTGCCTCTGGATACTTGTGGTTGATACTCTGATGGGTAGCCAGCATATGAATATTGCTATTAATTCAAAAGTATTCTTCTATAGCCCTCATGACTCATTGTAATTTATTTTTTATTTCTGTGGTTTAAGGCTCTGAAACTTATTGAAGTTTTAACTTTATGATGTAGCATGAATGTACTATGACTCTTGTACTTAATCGCGATGCATCATCATTTTCGGAGACATCACTGGATTTCATTCACATGGTTCACATGAGGTTGCAAGAATTCAAATGAAAAAATCTGCACAGCATGACGTAACAGCTGATCATGGGAGCCACTCTGCAGTGACACTCTGCAAGCGTGAGCTGAAGCTGCGGATTCAGAGTTCCTAAATCCAATAGTGAGGTCCTGGGCCATACTGTCACATTTTCAGGCTCAGATGTGCTACTCCATTAACATTACTTAGCACAAAGCTTACATGGTAACGACCTTGCACTCTTATGTGGCAAGCATACTCTGCAGTTAGACATCCTCAAACAATTCTCTTTTATGTCCTCTTAACAGAGGATTAGGTTTTTCCTACTGTTTTGTAATGAACTGGCATGATTTAAAGAGAAGTTAAGTCAGCATGTCTGTTCACCATTACCCATCTGTCACTTATATCTTCCTCTCCTAACCTAGCTGTGATATTCCTAGTGGATTGAGGCCTGGTCTTTCAGATCTGGAATGCTAATTGCATTGGCTTCTAAGAAACAAGAGTATACATTGATTGGTATGGACAAAATTTTCTGTTTTTTCATGGGTAGATGAAATTACTGTTGATGCTGTTCTCCAGAGCACTTCAGTATATTAGTAATGTCCATATCAATCCCTCATATACAAGACAGTCATTCAATTTCTTAAAAATCAACCCTCTGCACTCCTGCAGCAGGCTGGTTGGAAGTGCATATTGCCTGATGAACATCTGTTGAATATCTTTTTAGACATAAAGCTGTCTAAGAATAATTACGCATATGTTGGCAAGAAAATGGACCTTTAATAATCTTTGAAAGTTACTATCTGGTGCTACTTTTCAGAATTACTAGAATATTACTAGAAGTAGTACTCCCTAGGAGCAGTTTTAAGATGTATTTCAGTGTCTTGTGGCTCTGCTGCCATCTTAACCTTACGTTGTCCAATCTGGGCTGTTCATGGAAAGGTTAATAAAAGGTACAGTACTCCTTCTCTGAGTGCAGATGCATATCTACACTTACATTATGCATATATATCAATTACTCTCTCCTGTTTAGCTCACATAGATGCTGTAGATGGATTTGGTTTTGGGTCATTAACCATTGTCCTTTCTGACTGGCTTTTCTTCAGTTAGGTACACATATCTTCTGAATTTCCTGTCTCCACTTGAACTTCTGAAGCTCTCCTCATTGTGGTCACACA